TCATAATAATATAAATATAATTATAGTATTTCAGCTAAATTTGTTACGCATGGCAAAAGCAGGGAAAGTTGGACGGGCGGAACGCAGCGTTTAATTAGGCGGCACAGACACACGCACACACACTCACACACACATGCACACAACATATTTAGAGACATGTATAAACACACATACACCCATACACACACACACACGCACTTGTATTAACAAATATGTCATATACATGTGTATGAGAACAAACACACGACAAAAACACACTCACACACACATACATACATACACACATACATACATACATATACACAAACACATACATACATACATACACACATACATACATACGCACATACATACATGCATACATTCACACACACATACATACATACATACAAACATACATACATACCTACAAACATACATACATACATAAATAAATGCATACAAACACAAATATACAATACACGTAAGCGTCTATCTGCCGTGAGGAATTCAATTTGAAAATCACTCAACCGTGAACGATTTTTTATTTTGTAAGAAACCTCGGAAGAATATTAAAGCCGATGCATCATTAAGCCGTCACGAACAAAATTTTTTTTTCTTGCAAGATCCATTTCGACAGGTTGGTTATGTGGTGAGAATTGCATTCCACAATCATTTCTTTAAATTTGATAAACTTTAATCATGATTAAATAAACATTATTGTTTTATTTTCATTATTACTGAATTAAAGATAATTTCCGACTGTTTTACTGAATTACAGATGATTTTTGGCTGTTTTAAATGCTTACTTTTAATGAAATGAAGTTTAGTTGAAAGCAGTATCCAGAAAAAACAAAATAATTTCGAGACAATTTCGATAAATTTTTAAAAATAAAAAACATTTTAAATAAGAAAGAGAGAGAGAGTAAGTTAAATTAACGGCCGCAAAGATGGCTGAGAGGAGAGTTGTTTGGGTGAAACCCATGCTAGCATGCGCGATTTTGTTGGTTGCATTGAATGTAGCTGTCAACTCGACGTCGACAACTACCGATACGACTACAACAACTACAGCAACTACTACTTCTACTACAACTGAAACTACTACTACAACTACTTTTACTACTACAACT